AACGGCACAAGACATAGACTTTTTGAGCGTAAAACACGGAACCGATAAAAATGCAACGTGCATATCAAGTACCATTGATCTAGTGTCTAGTGTAAATCCAAATCTTCAACGGCTGTCTCGGTCGGCGCAGGTTCGTAGAAAATACACTCCTGTGTGTTTTACGCGAAATTGACATTTAAGTAATTCTTTAATAAGAATGAGAAGAAACCAAATTTATAAATAATGTTGCGTTAACATTTGCCGCCGGCCAAAACACCTGTGTTTTAACTAGCATAACATAAAAAATATAAAAAGAAAGAGAAGAGAAAAAAAAACTAAAAATAAAATAAAAAATAATGAAAACTGAACATACTATACCAAAATACTGGTAATAGTATCTGTTACCAAATATAAATTTCGTAAACATACCCAAAAAAGAAAAGAGAAAAAAAAAATATATAAATTTCTAAATTTAATTTTTGTAAATCGTGATTAAATTTATTTAATCACTCGAAGGAAGAGGGCACAGTTTGATAACTGGCCTTTCATATTGCCCAATTGCCGATTTGACAGTAGCAACACGTACTTGGTTATCGTCTCCAGGGTGCAGCTCAACAATTCTACCCAACGACCATTTCAGTGGTGGAACATTATCTTTACTAATGAGAACTAAATCGTTTAATTTAACTTTAGAACCCGATTCACACCACTTTTGCCGTTGCTGTAACGTATTGACATACTCTTTGAAATAAGGTTTCCAAAAGTCGTTGTGTAAACGGCTAATGAGTTGCCATCGTGATAACCTATTAACATTAATTTTGGAAATATCAACCATAGGCGGTTCCAGCCCATCTGTGCTGGGGGGGCTGAAGCCCCTGCTCCGGAAGTCGCTCACCGCAGGCGCTGCCAGAGGCCCCGCCGAAGGCGATAATTTTTTTTGGCTGTCACGCCCAAAAACATAGGCGCCAGAATTTTTAAATTACTATGGGGGCTCGGGCTTCACAAATTAACATGAGTAAAATCAATTAAACAGAACCAGGATACTAGACACATAGGCTTAAATAGGACCAGTTGACAAATGCCCATTTCACTGCAAGATCGCCACGCTGATGGATCATTGATCTTCCCTACATATTATTAAAATTCGTGCACCTTCGGCAGCTCGGCTATACTTGGCTTCGGCAACACCATTGGCGTAGCCAGGATTTTGTCTTTTGGGCGAGGGGGTGAAATTTGCAGAAAGTGATCCTTGCATCTTCGCCGCAGGCGCGAAATTTTTAGGTTTTTTTACGATTATTGGTGGGAGTAAGCGGAGATGCGGCCATAAATTTTTAAAAGAATTTATGGCCGTAGAGCGTTACCTATATTATAATATATGTATGTATTTGATTATTTACGTAGGACTTGAATTGATTTTTTTGTTTATTTTAATTTTGAATTATTAATACCATTTAGAGGCTTGGGAGAAGGAGGCAGTAGATTGGTCCGGTCTATATAAATTTTTCATGATAAACTAGGTGAAAAAAGCCCAGTGTATTCGTACATCATGATATATTCATGTGATGTGAACATACCTATCATTAAAACAAACGGAAAGAAAATAATAATCCAACAACTTATTGAAAATACAGGCTAAATCTGTTTGTTAAGGTAGGTATAGTACACTGATAAAAAAGATCATTTGATTCAAATAAAATTGGAGTGAACTCAAATAAATATTTGTTCTATATGGTCTGAACAAATATTTATTTGAATATGTCAGCTCACTTGTTTACCAGTTTATAAAAGGGTTTGTTTGATGGAAAAATTATTTATTCGGGCTAAATAATCAATTTGTTCAAGCGGAATTCAGATTTATTTAGAAGGATTTCTCAGTTTATTCACACTGAATATCGCTGTATTTGGTTGAAATATGTTGCACATTTGAGATAACTATTCACTCATTTCTCATGAATATATTATATGTTTGAAATTGGTGAGGGTTATTTTCCAAACCGTTACTAGTATTCTTAAACTTAGATCGTTCTTAAGAAATGAATAGACCTATTCTTGAGATTTTAATTTTATCTTCCTATTCTCCTCGTACCTGAATTAATATAGAGTATTATTTTTTGTTCTTTTTCAATTTCAAATTTGGGTTTACATATTTAAACGTGTAGCTTATAAGTATGAGAAATGTAGCATTACTTAGATTAAGTTTATTATTGTGCAGAACCTACTGTTATAAGAATGTATATTCTTTTTAAACAATAAAGAATTGATTGATTGATTGATTGATATGTTTGAAATTAATATTCCTCTATGTACTTCAGGGACTGAAGTGGCACTTTAAATCCCTAGGGATTTAAAATGATTTTAATCCCTAAAGATCTGAATATTGCGGATCTTTAGTTGGGACAAAGTCTGTTGTTTATAAAGTAGGCTATATTTCAAAAAAATAATGGCCGTGCGTGCGTTATTAAAACACTCGGTATTTATTTAGAATAATATGGAATTTGGACTTTTGTATTAAAAACTCGGTTTTTTAAATTAGTAATTAAGAAAAGATAAAGAATGAATAATTTAAAACTCACCTTCAAATAAAGGCCATAAATGGCCAAGATCCCACTGCACCAGCAGTCCTTTGACATCCATTCTAGTCTAGGTGATAACAGTGGCCTGTTTATACTTAATACCTTTTTCACCAAGTTTTTTACCACACAGGGCCGCGCGACATAAAATTTAGTACTTCACTTCTTACAGTTCTTGCACAAAATGGACAACTATGGCAACTGCCGTTTGCTCGCCTGATGCCTGGATGCCCCAGATGGGAGCTCCTCCGAATAATTTTGTCAAGTAAAAAAAATTGTTTGTTCCAAATAACTGGGTATTTGAGGTCCGAACTCCCATTTTAGTATTATTTGAGAACAAATATTTGTTTCGCCTAACATATTATAAAACAAATAAATCACCTACCTATTGAGAACAAACAATTAAAAAATGAAGAAATGTTCTTTTTCAAACATATTTTGTTTAACGCGAAAAAAAATTATTCCGTAGGAATAAAACTTTGCCAAATACACCATTTATTTGAATATACCTAAATGAATTTTATCAGTGTAAAACCCGTATTACATCTGTGTATTTTTCCGTGTATTTATTCATGTAGTTCAGGGTGCCAACATTATTTTGTTTTTCATAATGTTGATTTATGTTGCGATTGAAGTTTTTTGGTTGTCACCCTGAACTACATGAATAAATACACAGAAAAATACACAGATGTAATACGCGCATTAAACAACAAAAACATTAAACAAACAAGTTTGATATAGAAATAAATAGTTAGGAACTCAATATTTTTGAACCTACCCACGCCCACCCAATACATACAATACCAAAGTCTCTATGAGGGCTCCGCTCCTACTTATTACACTCACCTACAGGCAACAGAGGCAACCCTGTCTCTAGCGATGAGGGCTAGGGTTGCCTCTGTTTCCAGACGTCCCAATTTCGGATATTTATGAAATAACTGAAAAAAAAAATTATGAAATAATAGTTATTTATGGTACTAGTGTGTTATGTTGAAAATAAGTCACGCGAGAAAGATTTATACCACGAGGCCGTCAGGCCGAGTGGTATATATTCTCAAGTGATTTAGGAAACATAACACACGAGTGGCATACAATGTTTTATCCAACAAGTGGAAGGAATCATTTTTTTATGAGTTAATAAAAAAAAAATACAAGGTTCTATGCGTCGGGTCTTCCAGCACTATCAGCAGCTGTACCGATATGGGAGCGTCTGGTTCCAATGAACCAACGAATTTTACAATGACTTCAAATTCGAATAAACCGTTAGCGTTTTCCTTCAATTTCAATATCAATGTGAATTCTGCTTGTAATAGTAATAAACAAATAGAATACTACTTCAAATATGAACGTGAGTTATAATCCATTACCCACTAGTGAGTTATAGATTATAACACACTAGTGTGTTATTTGATAGTTTACTTGTCTAAAATGACATTAATTATAACAGTCATAACTGTCATGTTGGATAAAATAAATTATGAAGTTAATTAATCCTAACGCGTGAATATTTTTTATTCAGGGACTGCGAAGTTTTGCCACTCATCAGTAATCCAAATTTGGGGGGACTAATTCCAGATTTGGGGGGCTTAGCCCCGCCCAAGCCCCCACCGCCTATGATATCAACCTCTGGTACTACCGAATTCAGAGGTTCCAGAGTCAAAAAATGTACCGGAGTAAGGGGAATGAGATCGTTCGGATCAGTACTTTGGGCGCACAACGGGCGAGAATTAAGTAAGCTCTCTATTTGGCACAATAGGGCTGAAAATTCTTCGTAAGTTAGGCGTTGATCGCCTATGACACGTAATAAGTGGATTTTCATCATTTTTACCCCTGCCTCAGCTAAAAAAATTCAATGAACAAAAGAACAGATATTCAAGATTTAAGTTCCATATATTCATATATTTTAACAATTTAAAAAATAAACCCGTAATTATAACCTTTACCTTATCTATTAAAAAAACCAGAAATGAAAAACTAAAAATTAAACATAGATAGCACAAAATTTACCTATAACAAAAGACTTTGTTTTAACAACCAAAAAATTTTTCAAAAAAACTTTACAATTCTAACTTTATAGTCGTTATACAAATTTTATACTTATCTATGCAGTTTTTATTTTAAATAATTCATTTACAAGTAGGTAAGTCACAATTTTGTAATTTTATAATTTTAACTTATATAATTTTAGCCCTGAAGAAGATACAAAAAAGTATCGAAAGCTTGGTTAGTAATAAAGAATTATTTTAGAAAAATAAACTTGTTTGGCTGCTTTACCCGCTATCTAAAGAAGAAAACGTAAGAAATCCAGCCGTTATCCCCAATCCTACTAATAATTTTATTTCATGAAATAGGCCAAGGACTATATGGTTAATCTCAATAATGACCGGTCACATTAAAATTCTCAATGTCAGTGTCATTAGTTCATTTGAATTAATTTTTTGTCTCAAAATCATGAGTAGACGCTTTAGAGACGAAGAAGAAAAATTAAGAGCACTCAAAGATGAACTCCAAGAAGAAGAAGACAAAATGAAATTAATGACCGAGAAAATATTCAGCCCTTTAATTTGGAGAAGGTATCAAAATGGTATTAAAATTAAGGATTTACAGGAGAATCGGTTTTATGAAGTGATTGAAATGATTCTGGTACCTACTTAGTCTCTTCCTGGTTTAGATTTTAAAAAAATAATATTTTTTCTTGTCACAGAAATATTATCTCCCAGAAGATGTACTATGCCGAAATACCAAAATCGGTAAAGATAAAGTATCGCAACAATGCTTTGCAGATAGATTATTTTTTAAATTGAAAGATAGAGCTTCTGTGATTGCTGTCGATGAAAGTGAGTATTTTCAAATTATGGTTTATTCAACATTTAGCCAAACTGGAAAAAAATCACTTTAGAAAACGATAACTGCTTGGCAGGAGTTCTGGTTCTAAATCCTGTACAAAAATGCGATTATGGTCGTGTTTACAGCCGCGCAATGCTTGTAGATGGTAATAGTTATAAAAGCATCACTGAATTTATGAATCACATAAACCGTAAAGTGGATATTTTCGAAGAATTTCAGTGCGAAATTTATCTAAGATATTACTTGTTGTGTGTTAAGCCCGAATATAGACACAGAGGTAAAGCATTTCGTGCTATCCAATTTAAGTATAAAACTCATTATTATTTTTAGCATTGGGTATGCAACTAATGATGGTGGGACTGGACATTGCGAGACATTTAAAAATTCCAGTGGTTACAGGCGTTTTCAATAATTACAGACTACAGCAAATCGCTAGAAGAATTGGTATTGATCAAGTAATAAACTAAAATAATTCTTGACACATAGACGCAAGAGTGTGAATTAATTCTAAATTCTAGGTACTCTACGAATACAATTACAATAAATGGTCGGATAAAAATCACGAATTAATTTTTTGTAATCCAGGTGCTGGGAATTATACCTGTAATATTCAAGCTGGATTGGTACCGGCACCACCTGAACCCGAACCGACTCCTGTAAAAGGTTTCGAGGTGGGTGGTGGGGTGACTAGAGCCGATAAGAAGAAGGCAAAGGCAAAGAATGATGCTAAAAAGAAAACAAAATAAATAGTTTTTCTATCTGAAAAAAATACCTATTTCAAATACGGAAAAAATAAAAAATAAAACATCAATACCTAACTAAAAAGTGCCTAGGGAGAATGACTTTATTGACCAAAAATTATAAAATTTGACATGTAAGTAATATTTTACAGAAAAAGGGTACGAATAATTCTCATACCAAAAATGATGGCTGATGAATATTATACAGTTTATTCCCAAAATGTTTGTTTCAATTTTCTGTTTTTTATCAATCTCATCATCTTTAAAAGTTGCTTCGGAAATTATTGTTGTTGGTCTAGACGTTGCATCCTGTACAAGATCACATTTCCATCCTAGATTCATGACTGAGTCCACTTTACTTGCAACCGCAATTTCCTCCTTATCTCGAATTGCATTTAGGAAATAAGAATTTTCAAGGGCTGGTTGCCGATTTATGAGATTTTGTACTAAAAAATTTCCATCCCTATTTGGTGGGTAACAAACTATTACTTAGCCACATTTACACTGAGAAATCCTCCTTATGGCCCTCCTCGCCAATTTTTTAGCAACCACAGCTAATTTTTTTTTAGAATAGGCTCCAGCCAAGTTCTTAACTGTGGTAATAGAGTTCACTTTATTGAACTGTCTTACCCGTGGCAGCAAAGTAACTTTGTTGTGACTATAAAGGATATCTTTATTGTTACAATAAAGTAACTTTATTGTGACTATAGAGTCACTTTGCTACGACAATACAGTTTTTCTTATGACAATAAAGTAACTTTATTGTGGCTACAAAGTAACTTTGGTGCTACTATAAAGTATCTTTGTGTGGCCATAAAATTACTTTTTGTCATACGCTCCCAAAAACAGCTATTTTACGGACTCATTCAAGTCCGTAAAATGCTTCTTTTTAGGACTTTTTTTTTCTGACTGGATGCACCTTTATAATTTCAAAAATTAGGGAAATTTTGCAAATTTTAGCGTTCTGAAGAATTCTAAAAAGCGTATGACAAAAAATAGTGTTTGTCACATGTACCTAACAAAGTTTTTCAGGACGAATCATTGCTGTTTCCGGACGAGGCGTTAGCCGAGTCCGGAATAGCAGATGAGGTACTTGTGACAAAAATAACTATTTGCAGTGACAATAAAGTCAGTTGCTCATGGTTGAAAAGTTAATTATGGCCGGTTGTACCGATCATTTTAGGGAAGTCTTAGCGATAAGTATCCAATGACATTTTTGCGTGGAGAAATGTCACTTTAAGGAAAACTTATCGCTGAGGCTTCCTTAAAATGGTCGGTGCAAACGGCCATTAGTAACAACAGTAAAGTTCACTTTGCTGCATTCTCTTTATTATACACTGATAAAATTCATTTAGGTATATTCAAATAAATGGTGTATTTGGCAAAATTTTATTCCTACGGAATAATTTTTATTCGCGTTAAACAAAATATGTTTGAAAAAGAACATTTCTTCATTTTTTAATTGTTTGTTCTCAATAGGTGATTTATTTGTTTTATAATATGTTAGGCGAAACAAATATTTGTTCTCAAATAATACTAAAATGGGAGTTCGGACCTCAAATACCCAGTTATTTGGAACAAACAATTTTTTTACTTGACAAAATTATTCGGAGGAGCTCCCCACCTGGGGCATCCAGGCATCAAGCGAGCAAAAGGCAGTTGCCATAGTTGTCCATTTTGTGCAAGAGCTGTTAGAAGTGAAGTACTAAATTTTATGTCGCGCGGGCCCTGTGTGGTAAAAAACTTGGTGAAAAAGGTATTAAGTATAAACAGGCCACTGTTATCACCTAGACTAGAATGGATGTCAAAGGACTGCTGGTGCAGTGGGATCTTGGCCATTTATGGCCTTTTTTTGAAGGTAAGTTTTAAATTATTCATTTTTTCATAAATAGAAACCTGCTATTGCTTACTTTGCTATATCTTTATCTTTTCTTCATTACTAATTTAAAAAACCGAGTTCTTAATACGAAAGTCCAAATTCCATTTTATTCTAAATAAATACCGAGTGTTTTAATAACGCACGCACGGCCATTATTTTTTTGAAATATAGCCTACTTTATAAGCAACTCTTAATGACGCAATGCTAATAATATTAGATACATTTGTAGAACATCCCAACTAATGTTTGTTTCCAATAAATACCCATTTTTTTCTTATTAACAATCTCTCTGGATTTGCTCCCATAAGGAAGAACAATATATAGTTTTTTATTTATTTATTTTTAATTTTTTAGCGAACAAAATTGATGATATCGCCATTCTGCATCATTTGGGCAGTGAGGAGATATGTTTGCTCACTGGAAATGTATTGGGCGATAAGATTAGACTGTGCCAGAAACTCGAATAGTTGAAAAAGGTTAGTGAAGAATAATTATTATAGGACAGGTGTTAGGATGGGTGCGGGAAAAGTGTTATATAACTACATAGTTACTGCATAGTTATTAGAGTTTGATTTTTGTTACCATGAGAGTTTATATTTTAGTTTTCCATAGGACTCTATATTGTATTATTAATAATAAATATCTCAAATAATAATAAATAGTGTAAAACCTTAATATAACCATAAATAAAAAAATATATATCAACAAAAATAGACCTAAATTAAGTTTCAAATAAGAAACTTTACTTTTTTAAAAACTTTATTTTAATTAAAAGTAAAAGTAAAGTAACATATGAAGACTGGTGGAACTAGTTGCTGCTGCAAAGCATGAAAGCAAAAGAACAATTGTGCATGGCTGCACCGCTTTTTATAAACAATAAATGCAAGTTAGCAATATTCACTAAAAACGTCAACAATTGTGATGTCATCGTGGGCGAGCAATTAGTATGCTCCTTTAAAGCAATAGATTGATTAACTAATTAACATTAGTTGATATGGGAATCGTTCAATATAACTCCTACAATAAATAAAGAAATAATATAAAATATCAAAAACAATCACAATAAATATAGGTACATAAATGAAAGAATCATCAAATGTCAAAAATCTCGTCCAATCCTTTGTCCTTCTGAATGGTACCCATCACTGAAGCCGCATTACCTCGTTGAATGGCTATGCCGATCCTCTGAGTTAAGAAACTACGTGACTGATTAGTTGGAATTTTGGAACTAATTTCCGAAACCAATCTCCTAGCCTCATCACCCCAAGGACCTAAAGTCTCTACAGAAAAAGGGACAAATATAAAGCGGTCTTCAAGCTCAGAATACTTTCTATGTTTTTTTTCTTCAGCCAGCAAAGCAGCTGATCCAGATGTTTTTGATGTTTTCCATTATATTTTTGAGTTTATCTTAGGTACTTATATTTAGTTGAACCGTTCTCAAATACATCCTTTTTGTATTGAATCTTTCAAATTTAAAATAAACTTATTATTTTTTTAAGAAGCGTTTTTTATTTGCCAGCCAAATCCTCTTATCCCAAAGTTTGTATGTACAATTCGTCGAGGAATAAAAAGACACTTATTTAGTCTTAAGGTTTATATACTATTTTGTGTACTTCAGGAACTAAAAGTATACTTTTAGTACCTATTTTCAGGGACTAAAGTAACACTTCAAATTCCTAGGGATTAAAATGATTTTAAATCCCTGGAGATTTAAAATGCCACTTCAGTCCCTGAAAATAGGGACTAAAAGTATACTTTCAGTCCCTGAAGTACATAGAGGAATATTAATTTCAAACATATAATATATTCATGAGAAATAAGTGAATAATAATCTCAAATGCGCAACATATTTCAACCAAATACAGCGATATTCAGTGTGAATAAACTGAGAAATCCTTCTAAATAAATCTGAATTCCGCTTGAACAAATTGATTATTTAGCCCGAATAAATAATTTTTCCATCAAACAAACCCTCTTATAAACTGGTAAACAAGTGAGCTGACATATTCAAATAAATATTTGTTCAGACCATATAGAACAAATATTTATTTGAGTTCACTCCAATTTTATTTGAGTCAAAAGATCTTTTTTATCAGTGTAGTAGTAAAGTATTTTTATAAAGTGTCTTTTCTGAACCAGGAAAGCTTCTTTTGTAAAACAGCAGAATCACTTTGCAGAAACGGGCCAGCTGTTCACTATTATAGTTATATCCTTTTCTACTATGAAAAGGATTTATTTTTATTTCAGATATTTTTTTTTTACAATAGGAACAATATTATCCACCTACAGGCGAATTATTTATAGTTCTAGCAAATATTTATGCTACCACAGAAATATGCCTTTCCAGCAGTTTCTTGTTTGTTTCTACTTATAGTGCGGCTGGATCAATTGCTTGTTAAGTCTTGTTAGTTAACAAAACCTTAGATTGTGTGTATGTCAATATGACTTTGTTTTTGTGTGGCACATTCTAAGGATAATTTATTTACTAACGGACTTAACCAACGATTGATCTAGCCGCACTAGGATAATCCAGCTCTTCATAAGTTAAACCTATAATTTTTTAAAGCTTGAAACTAGAGGAAAAAACCATTGGGTTGGTTATACGAGGTGGTAAAATCGCCAGTAGAAATAATTTCAGTTGCTGGAAAAAAAAAAAATTCTGTGTTTACAATAAATGATTATTATTAGAACTATGTACCGTAATAAAAAAAATAATCAAATGATGGCCAAACGGCGTCAGCCAGATTGAGCACAGTACCAACAAGAGGCCTTCCCGCGCAGTTCCGTCATCTATGAATGCAAACTCAGAAATGCGAAAAGAAAAGATGGAAATGGAGATGGACACGCTTCGCCAGGACTGGCGAAACGGCGAAACGAAGAGCGACGGGAATAGCCGATGTAAGTCTATAGACAAGTGCTCTCCCGAATCAAATATGATCTTTTCTATGGTAGTAAAGTACTTTGCCATTCTTGCAAAAAATAATTTAGAAATAATTTTTACCAGTAATAGCAAAGCACTTATTCATTTTATAAAAATACATTTCTGGAGAAGCAGATAGATGCTTGTTAAAAAAGTTAATTTCTGGAATAAGAAATAAACTAATCTATTTCGAAACTCAAACTCATCTATTTCAAGAACGTATTGTCACGGCTTTCGGTTGCCTAACAGAAATCTTGGGTTCGTTGTTCGTTTCGTTTATTCCAAAAATCAAAGTCCAATTAACACAGCAATAATTTATTCCATTTAACAATACACTCTGACACTAATTACTTTAATAACTAACTCAACAATTAAACTCTTACAACTCGCAATAATCACTATTTAAATCGTATCACAGTCAAACTTTAACTCCTACAAAGCAATAGCCGCCTTTATATATCCCCAAATC